AGAAGAGGAATGCCTCTGTTGCAAGGAATAGGACCGGTTGCAGCCTTATTTTCAAGGTCTGGATGTGACCGAGGACAAGACACCTCCACGTGGAGTAGTATCCAGCTGGGCTTTATCTAGAGCTCGCGAGATATATTTCGGCCGCGCTTTGGAAAGCAGAGCTAGATGGTAAACAAACATGGCAGCACACCGGTAAGGTAAAAATAATAGTTAGCATGTTAGCCGTTAGCCTAGATACAGCCGGGGGGCATAGTAGCGTCAGACCTGTTAAAACGTAAGTGAACGGGCATACTTCACACGTCGAGGAGGTGTGTCGTTTTCTATATGTTCTCTGACATTTATCCTAACGATATGAGGCGGTCTTTGTGGAAAAAAAGCTTGTTTAGTGGACTAACTTTGCACTTGAAGTATGCCCGTTCACTTACGTTTTAACAGGTCTGACGCTACTATGCCCCCCGGCTGTATTTAGGCTAACGGCTAACATGCTAACTATTATTTTTATGTCACTAGTCACTTGAAACAAATTTAGGACGATAGGAGACAGGTTGAAATAAACCGAAATTTCCCTTTAAGAAGGGATGGATAATTTGTTATAAAGGGTATTTCAAAATTGAAAAGTTTCATAATTCACAGTTTGATGGCTTATTATGTTTTAGAAATTATCTCAAGAGTTTCAGAGACTGTACTGTTTTACTATCACAATTTTTTTTTTCACTGCAAAACTTTTCTTTGGGATAATGCTATTGAAAAATATTTCAGTCCAAGTCCTTCATCCACCGTCTGACTTGCAATATGCAAATTTTGTCTAAACAGAAGAACAGTCGAACAGGAAAACTCTGTCTCAACCACTCTGTCAGTGGGCACCATTAAAGCAACAAATGACCCAACAGACCTGCTAATGAGTCTCTTTTCATTACGACCAAATTAGGGCTGATTTAGTAGTTTGTTAAGTATGATAAATGGACACAGAGCATTGGTGATTACTTGTGTAATGAGATAATGTGCTCTTGCTGATTTCCTGCCCTCTGTGGGACGATATTCATACCAAAAAGAGGATGATGAGCTGCAGCTTGTCCTGCAGCATCAAACCCGTTTCCTCTGGATGATTCTCTGTATGGGAGTTTTATGAAAATCCTCTGTCATCCTTACATCATCTTAACAGCACTCTGAAAGACTTTGGCTTTTGTTGTCAACCAACCCTGATATATAAAAAGTCTTTTCTGCAGTCAGCCACTGAAAGAACTGGGAAAAAAAAGCATTGTGATTGTTGTATGAGGAAGGTCGCCTTTGCTCTTGAAACGTTGACATTTGGGAGGAAGGTTTTAATTGTCAAGATGTCTTGATATCTGACAGCCCATGTGAAGAGGAAACTTGCATTATATTGTGTGAAAAATCTTGGATATTTTGAAGGCCAGCACAGATACAAAGGGTTGAAGAACGGAGCTGCTGAAATTTAAAATTTGGTGCCAGTGTGGACTGAAAACCTGACTATGTCTATGTGAATTAATTCAACTTAAAGCAGCTATGCGGAACTTTTTACTATTAATAAAACTGTCCCTAGTTCATATCACCCCCCCCCTCCCTTGAAGATCCGCATATTTATTTGAACCCAACAGCTACAAAAAAGCCTTTCTCTATATGGCTATTTAGCGTAGCCTCGCTCGGGTCAGACACACAGCGGAAGTCAACAAACCAGAATACGGCACCCGAGGCGGAAATGATTCTGCTCGCCCGCAGCGGCCCGCAGCGATTAAACCACAGAAGAAGAAGGAGCCGTGTTTACAGTGTTCTTCGAGTAAGCAGTACGCAATGGGCACTGCTGAACACATAACACCTAACAGTTTTACCAGAGATGTATCTATGAGGACTTGGTTGTATTTTTGATGTTATGGCGGATAACGAACGAGCATCATCTAAAATTATCTGTGACTGTGACCATGAACACAAATATACAGCAGGCAGTTGTCCTCAGTTTATAAGAAATTCAGAGCTACACCAGAACATTTATGAACAGGTCTTACTTTACTACTAATTTGTGTGTAATGTTAGCATGTTAGCATGTTTCCACTAATTACTTGGACTGACCTAACGTTAGTAGCATTAGTTTTGCAAGCGAAGGCTGCAGATAACAGCTTTGCTGTGTTAGGATTATGTTATGTCTTCACTGTGTATCTTCACGTAAAAGAATACTCCGGCGATTTGGGAGGTATGCCCTTTCTCTATCATTTTCATATTGAGACAACATGATCGATATCTTTTTTGTGTCTGTACATCCAGTGGCTGGGTCTCAGCGGTTAGCATTGCGCTTATAGGGGGTCAGTACGTCCTGCGCTGTGATCCGCAGAGGGATACACCGGTGAGCAGGCACAGACGTAGCTTGTAAATAAAACTCAGCTGTTTATTTAGCCTAGCGATATCTCCGGACTGTAGTAGCTGCAATGGATGACTTTGAAAGCGATTTTGAAGAGTTTCTTGTAGCGGACACAGATCCAGAGCCATACCTGTTTGAGCCGGAGTACACAGATGAGGAACTCCCATGTGTTTAATGCTGAGCGGGCGAGAAGAGAGGCTGAATCCTCTGCTCCCATTTTGCTGCACAGAATGGGACTCGGTGCTACCATCATTGGGGAGATATATCATCAGGAGGAAAACCGCCGCAGAGAGTGCATCACAAGGAGTGAAACCTTTGCAGCAATCACTAATCCTGGCATGACTGAAACTTTTTTTCATGTTCCTAAGATGAACTGGAAAAAACGCCCAGGCCTGCAGGAGCTGATGGACAGCTTTCAGTCGGGTGAGTAATATCGTCTGTGTCGTCTCTTTGTTTGCTTTTACCGAGTGACCTAGCGTATCTGTCCCAGAGCCAGCTGCAGCTGTTGCTCACCGGTGTATCCCTCCGCGCAAGATGTACTGACCCCCTATAAGCGCCATGCTAACTGCTGAGACCCAGCCACTGTACATATGAAAATGATAGAGAAAGGGCATAACTCCCAAATCGTCAGAGTATTCTTTTCACATAATAATGCGGACTCAGCAGATGACTTGTTAACTGTTTATTCATCCTTACACCTAACTTACACGGCTGCTTCTCATTGTTTCCAGTAGCACAACAACGGTTACTACATTACCCAGAATAACTTGAGGCTCACACTACTATGGTAGCCTTAGTAGCTCAAAATACACAACAGATTAGATTAGATCAGAACAGAAACAAGACAGGAGAATTTACTGAGTAATTTTGCTGTTTCCACTAATTACTTGGACTGACCTGATGTTAGTTAATCCTCTCGCTCTCCAAAACAAATGCATGCGGTAATTGCCGGCTGCAGTCGGAATTTTACGACACCAGGCTGTGGGTGTCATACCGCTTCAACCAAAGGGGCGCTATAATCAACGAAAACGTAAAGTTCCGCACAGCTGCTTTAAACCAGGAAAATGTCTCCTTTTTAACTCTCAGTTTGCATCTTTACACCAAAATCTGCAATATATATCTGGCGCAGCAACACACCACTTCTAAAATATAAAGATTTGCTGCTTTTTTGTGCCTTACACAGTTCCAAATTGAATTTTAAGGTTTTGGACTATTGGTCAGACAGAAAGAAACTTTTGAATATGTCCCCTGTCAGAACTCGTGATGGATTTTTTTTAATACTATTTTTTAACGTTCAATTTGAAAAACAATGGACAACCCTAAATGACCCTTAGTAGAAGTAGCAGCACCAGTATGAACATACTCCATTTAGCAGCAAATGTACTTTAAGCATCAGAAGTAAATGATGCAGAGAGGCTACTGTCAGTGTTATCACTCACATAAGGATTTGACAAAAAGTTATACATTTATTAATTTCACAGCAGTCCTAGGGAGTAGCCATTTTATTTTTCAGAGCGTTCTCAATGCAAATAAAAATACTAATTTAAACCATAATTCTTTAATTAGTTTTGATTTAGGAGATGAACAGAGTTGACATGTTATGGTTGAGACACACTCAGTAGGAATATTATTTAATGAATTTATCATAAAATAGAAAGCTTACCAGCCCTTGAGCAGCACTCCCATCTTTTTTGGGAACCAGGGATCTGAGACATGAGCCCTTATGATATGAGCCAACTCCTCTTATGCCTGATTAAATTATGATTTTGTAGAAATCTTATGGGGTTGACAAAAATATGGGACACATTTTTAAAGGGCCAACATTTTCACTAAATACATAAATACATAAATCTATTTTAAAACAAATATGATTATAGAACTACACTTTATGGTGATGTTATCAGTACATGTCTGGGGAAAGGGGTGTTTTCCTCATATAATTTTGGTGATTAAATCCCTGACTGTGGGTATTATGAATCATATTTTATGAACATTTTGTTAGCAAAATCTTTAATGTGGTGAAGTGAAAAATACATTTTTTTTCTCTGAAATATAGTTAAGCACAAGTATTAAGTAGCATAAAAATAAAAATACTCAAGTAAAGTACCTCAAATTGTTTCTTTCGTTGTGTTACATTAGCCTACTGCAAAGAGTGATAACATTCAAGCCCCTGCCTGGCACGATCTAGGCCGAACTGTTCCGATTTATCTCGATCCGACCCGAGCCGTTTGGAACCAGCCCGATCAAGGCCGAACTATTTCGATTCAGCCCGAAAAGCTAGCTAGCATATTTTCTCACCGAAGCCAACGTTTTTACGTCAACACCTTATCTGTCTGTCTATCTATCTCTCAATAACACAACTATTAAGGGTACATTGGTCCCATTGTGCGAGAGAAAAACATCCTACCTTTTCCACAAACTCATGTTATTACCTCCTGTTGACACATTAGCTGGTGTTTTAAGTTAGCAAAGTAATGTTGACGACACAGGAGTTAACATAAACAGGCAGCTCAAGCTATTTGTAATAAAACGCCAGCCAACCACCACCGCCATTGTTTGACATTTCCTCAGTGATAAAACACAGAGATAAACTAACAAGTTAACTCATTAAATTACTTAAATGACTCACCATTTTGCTTTGAGAAGAGTCATGGTGGCAGGAATTAAGTTATTAAACGTCCTTGAAATCTTCGCCAAACGGCTAACGTTAAATCCACAAAGAAGAGAAACTTCCAGAACTTGACTGATAAACATGGCACTGCTAAATGTCTCTCTTTACTTATTTCACCCTTCGAAATAACCTAACGTTATCCATGACAAGGTAACCAACACTCACAGGTGAGTTAATAGATAAAGTGAATTAGTGAGGCGCCACCTGTTGGCCGGTTGGTCGCACTGCAGGTGCATATATTTAATTATTCAGCGGCCTGTGTGTTTGCATTTTAATTAATTCATCATTCTGATTTTATTTTTTTTTAGTAAATATTATTTTTAGTAGGCTACAAATGTTCAGACCTCAGATACTTTACAAGGTCATACTTTTAAAAGCCATATTGTCACCACCCATGTCCCAGTGAGACATTTTTACCTTTGTAAAAATGGGTCTTTGTGGCAAGATGTTCAAAACAAGTTAAGGAAAATACACATGGGATGAATATGAATATGCTTACAGGGAGGAAACAAAGAATATATATTTCAGTTCAGGGTCAAGGTTACTTATATTGTCTCCCTTAATAGCAAACTAAGCATGTTAGAAAAAGTAAGATTTATTTATTTATATTGCACTTTCCCTAACAAAATTTGCAAAGCTAAAAAACAAAAAATTTGCATGAAAGGAAGAGGCCTGAAAGGAATTCCTGCATAAAAGACAGACATGTCACAAGTAAGACATATAAATAAAAGCACACCTGCAAACAGTGGCCTGAACTGTAGTAACAAAATCTATTAAAATCTAGTAAAATTTATATTCATTTCCACATCTGAACCCAAACTACATGTAGCCTACCACCAGACCTCTCTTTTCAGTGGGTTAGGGATTGTTCTTCCTATTCAAGGAGTGTGACTTTGTTGTTTTTTAACCCGACCATCCCGAAGCTACAAATATTTTTCGTTGAGCTTCCCTTAATGACTGGGGGAAAATGCATGAACCTCCTTCCACCATAAATATGCCTTACCTTTTTTTTTTTTCTTTAAATATTTACACCAAATGTTGTGTTATAATGTAAATGTTAATGAGTTATCACAAAACAAGCAGCTAATTTCTTTTGCAAAATGCAAACCCTCCTTACAAATTGCATTGTCATCACACTAGTTGTGTGTGGACTTCAGTGGAATATGGGACAGCCACCCATTATACCACACAAAACCGCATGCACAAAGCCGCCATTAACAACATGTACGTAAAAAATAAACTGAACACAACAATGGCAGCAGTGGCCAGCCAGAATAATATCAGTATCTTGGCATGGTGGATGTTATCAGATTTTAAAAACGTTTCCCATGATGTTTCAAGTGAAAAGTTTGAAGTTGAAAATGAAATCCTGGAGTTGGAAAAAGCATTGGTTTTTCACTGATGTCATGCATGCAGGAGTGCTGAATTTAATGTTTTTTACAGGCATGGAATGAGACATGTAGAATAAAGTAATTTGGATGAAATATCACTATTCTAAGCTTAGATTTGGTTATGTTTCCTGAAAGTGTTAGTCATTCATGATGTGTTCAAGGACCGTCAAAGTTTTAAATCCAGTGATATTTTCTGTTTTTACAGATTCTGGCTATGATAAATGGTGTGATTTTGGCAATCTTTTAATTAAATATGCCCTCCAAACCTGCCGGCGTATTTTGGAATTCACATGGTATTTAAAACAAATACAAAATACAACAAAAATATAAACATAAGTCCCTCCCCAGTGCTTAAAAAAATATTTGATATGGCTCCCTTGTTTTGCCCCCTGCTCCTCCCCTCCTCATAAATAACAAACATTCCCTTAGGATCCTAACTGAAGTTAAAGTTCATGAAATAGAATTAACATTTAGATGAAAATATAAAATAATTTTCCCCCAGTGAGATAAGAGCAGAGATATTTATCAAATATACCAACTGATGTCTTTGTCTGTAGGGATAAAGAGATTGGGATCTCAAATATATCACAAGTTGTTTGATATTTTAAAACTATAAACACCATGGCAGCTCACATTTGGTTTAATCCTGCTTGAATTAAAACCATTGTGTTGAAGTAAATATTTAAATTGTTTAGAAAAAGACCAGACGGTTTAGAATGAAATGTGTCTTTTCAGATTATAACATTCACATTTCTCTGAAGGTTTAATTGAGGATGTAATGAATTTATCAGTTCTCCAAACCATTGAATCTACATCAAGATATAGAGATATATGTTTATTATCAGGAGAGAAAGCCTTCACAAACACAAACAGATAAACACAGAGGACAAATGTGCTGCATTATTTCTCCTGGCATGACCACTGCTTGAATCCCCTCTTCAGTGTAGCTTCATCTTTGTGCAGAGTGCTCAGGCTGAGAGAAGACTGGAGCATTTATAACGAGAGAGAATCCTCTATTCTGTTTGATTTCACAAAATCAAAGGGTTCTGCAGGTCTGTGACACAGGCTGAAGATTGATTTCGGTCCAGTTATACTGGAGGCAAAGAGCTGTATTTTCATGTTGGTGACATGTTTGGTGTTTTCTGCACTATACACCCCACCTTATCCATAAATCTGCTCCTAAAGCTCTACAGAATATTTCCTTGAGTGGATATTTGAATGTGGAGCATCGACTTTCTTCCATAATTCACTTTAAAACATGAAATACTGACCTGTCATTATGTGGTGAAAATAGAAGGACATGCCCTCCCAGTATTTAGAGCCTTTAAAAGGCTTTCATTTGGATACAGTCCCTAAACCCTTTAAACCCCACTCTCTTTTGCATACTGTAGTGTGAAGAGACACTACTGTACCGAGAATTATGAATTCTCAGCTGAGCTTCACAGACCTGCTGGCTGTTTCATTTTTAAACCCAAACTGAAAAGATTTTATAAGCAGCTGTCACCTTTTATATGCCAGATTATCATCAGCTGTGTCTTTGTGGAAATAAAAAAAAAATTGCAATTAAAGAAAAAGAAGAATATGAATAAGTCAGGATAACATTTGATTTCTAAGCTAAAGCAAAAATGATTAAGGGAAGTTTATTTGCACAGAGTGTCTTTCACCTGGATTAAAAACATCATTAACACTCAGTCCTGGGCTTCTCTGCAGTTGACACCTCATTATTATTAGTTACAAATAGGTTAAATTACAAATTCAAGAGTAATGCAACACAATACAAAAAGATAGCGTCTGGGTAATTAAATGAGGTCAGTGCAGGGAAGAACAAACACAGTTGCCACCATTCAAGGCTTCAAACACAAGGGTTAGTTTGTTTTTCTAAATTTTCCTGACAGAAAAGTGACCTCCCGGTCAAGGATTTCTAAATGATTAGAAAAATGTTTGATTAACCACCCTCACTTATTATTGCACAGAGGCTTCCTATACCTGGTTCTTTGAGTTTTCTCCTGCTGCAAAAGAAATGCATGTTACATCTGGAAGTGTGGAAGAGCAACTCCAAAGCAAGGTAAGACAAGTTGTGAGCTGTCTTCATTTGAATGAAGCCTATATTTTAATATTTAGAAAGTGTTTTCTGATGTTTCTTGGCTGTAAACACAAAAAGGGCCAAAAACAGTTGGGTGCAGAATGAAAAACATGCTCACATAAGGACCGGTGTTCTTACTTTGTTCACTATCTTAGTTCAGTGTGTTAGCCAGCAAAAATTAGATAACTAGTTTTAAAGACAGCAAAAGGCTGATGGGAATGTCATAAGGTTTGCCAGTATTTGGCAAGCAACAACCTCCGGGTTGAAAAATGAAGCACGGAAGTGCCAAAAACTGCAGTTCCTCAAATGGCCACTTGAGGCTGGCAAAAAAAAAGGTACAAAAAAAGAGAAACAATTCACCCATTTATATTTCATTAAAGCTTAAAATTATGCATAATTAAGGGTGTGGCCACTTTAAATTCTGTCTGCGAATCAACTTTTTTGCCCAAAAATGGTCACCTCATGTCATTTCTGGCTCCAAAAACCTAAAACCGACACAGCCAAAATGCCAGACTCGAGGCTTCAATATGTGAGTCCATAAACCAATGGGTAACATCACAGTGGCTAGGGCTGGGTACCACTGAAGAAATTACAATACCCATACCAATACTAGTGCCCTGGAAATGATATAGATACAATAGAGCAGCCCTGCTTCATTTTATACCCATATTGCATATAAGGTCGTGAATGTTTTAGTGGCATCTCAGCACACTTAACTGCACACTGTGTCAAATACACCATTCTTGACTTCACTACACCACAGACTGTATGGGTTGTAGCTGCTGCTGCAGCAGTGTGAGCTCTGCACTAAGGACTGTTGTGAAATGGTCCCAACAAACTCACACCAACACTGAAACGGCTTAACTCAGTTGACAAACCTGTTAATAGTAGTGAGGCAACATTAGCCGTGTGATGCTAACAGTTAGTCCTGTCACTGTGTGAGTGTCCAGTTAGCCCCCTCACAGTCAGTGCTCCCCTGAAATTTTCTCTAGTGCCACATTCAAGCCAAAGTTTCCAGCCACGCAACAGAAATGTATTTAGCATGGTCCTGATCTCCAGAGGTTGAAACCTTTTTATCCTAATGATTCCATGGCCTTTCCTCTGGTTACATTATTAGGACAATATTTACAGTTTTAGCTCCACCAGTCTCTAAATGGAACTAATCGTTATTTTGTTGTATTTTGCTTCACATGCTTTTGCTTCATTTTACTTTACAGTACAGGGTCTTTGCTAAACCTCTAAGCTCAGATTTAGAGAATATACCCAGCTCAGTGAGCAGACTTCTGCCCACACAATACAACTAATCAGCCTCTCCAGCCACCAGGGTAGTCATAATTCAAAGGCCAAAGAATTACTGAGCAGGGGAAGATCAATATCACTGTTAGACTCTGTCCTGCTCAGAAGGGGGCTACATTTTAGGTCAAATGTATGCCCACAGTAATTATAAGTCAAGCTGTGAGAAGGAAATTTAATAAGACATTATCGGCAATAGAGAGAGGGCTT